AGAGAATTTCTTAGTTCCTGAGTTCAGTGGGCTTTCTGTGAAGCCTGGAGGATATCTGTTTGCATAACAGTCATGCTGTTTTTCCATTAGGCAGAAAAGGAAAATTTGGTGACAGGATGATTTGGCAGTGACTTAATGGATGGATTTTTTAGAGCTCTGTTCTCACAAGAAGCTAGGTCCTGTGGTGTTCACCACAGACACAAATAAGAAGGGTGTTAGGTGATAAATTTTGCTGTTAATACACTTTTTTTTTTCCAAAGTGGTAACCAGGAGGGACAATTCTAACATTGCTTAAGAGTTTTGTAGTATTTGAGTGAACTGGAGAGAAAAAATGATATACAGTGTTAACAAATGCAGAGTGTTTGGGAGTGAACACAGTGAATAAGTCATCTTGTACATTAACACCTGATTCAGAACTTCTCTGAGACTTTGAAATTACTGAAGATAATTCAATGGTTAACTGAATGATCATAAAAGCAAGCAAAATGTAAGGGATAAAAAAGAAATACAGAAGAGATTGAGGAAAAACTGCACTGATTAGAAATCCATTTTCTTCCATTCTTGGGTGTTTTCAAGCCACCCCTCCCCTCAGCACGTAGAGTAGAGTAGAGTAGAGTAGAGTAGAGTAGAGTAGAGTAGAGTAGAGTAGAACTAGCCAAGAGTTGAACAAGGACAAGAAGGAATAAAGGACTGTTTAGGAGAACATGAAATGTTGCTGCAGGTTTTTGTAGGTGTTGAAAGACCAACATTTCAAATGGTGCAGAAACAAATCCATGGAAGAGAAAATTTTAAAAGTCATAAAAAGCTGTTAAACTGAATTACTCATATAGCCTGTGACTTAAAATCTCCACCCGCAGATTTCTGGAAGACTATGCTATTTGTGTGATTACTGTTTGTTTGCCCTATTTTTATATGCTTCCCTAGGTAATTGCATCTTGCCTTTGCCAGCCAGGGCACTTGCACTGGAGGGGTGTTTAATCTGACCCTGTGAAGTCATTCTTGTGGCAGTAGATTTTAAGAGAAAAGCTCAGTGCTTTTCCCTCATTTTCAAGTGTCTCTGCATGTGGGAGTCCTGGTGGAGTCCAAGAACTCGGTATTTTTACTTCCCTGTTAGCCCTTAGCTGTGCTTTTGTTAACAGCTTTTTTTTTTTCAGTACCTGTGGCCAATCTGCTCCAAATGTAGAATAAAAATTAGCTGCTTTGACGGAGATTTCAATGATACGCTTAGCTTTATTTATACTATTTTGATGTTTGTGTTATGTCTTGGTTCATTAAGTGCTACGCTAAAGGCTGTGCATCTTTGTTCAGCTCTGTGCATTTATTCTCTTGTTCAGTGTTTTTTGCAGCAGAGGAGTACAAAGATATTTGCATGGATTCTTTTTCCCTCACCTCCTCCTTTAAGTGCCTTTGAAATAAATTACATAAGCTTCTGCAGTTGTCACGCTGGACCAGTAGTCTATATTTAAGTTATTAGCTACTCTCTTTGGGCAGAAAAAAAAAAAATCTTCATCCCGGTTTATCCCTTTCACCAACTCGCCACTACAATTAAAGATTAACAGCTCTGTTCTCCCAGCCCAAACAATTGCTGTTCCTGAGTACAACTTGTCTGTGTTGAGTAGCAGTTCATGCCTATACACCTATCTTTTGAAAGTTGGTTTGTTGAGGCAGATAGGCACTTGTTTATTTGGACTTCTAAATAGGTCATTGCAAGAGACCTAAACCAAAAATGAACACAAAGCAGTGTAGCTGCTTTCTGGACACAGCTGACAAGAGTATCTTCTTAGTCCTCTTGGCATCAGTGAGAATCAGCAATTGTAAAGGAAATTTAGTTGCTCTGTTTTTCTCAGTAGATGTGTTTTAATGATTCTTCAGGCTACAAACTAATGCTGACTATAAGAATGCACAGATCTGGACTCTTGCAGGTAACATCAGTTTTGCTTGGGACAGCTGACCCTTCCATGAAGATTGCTCTAGCACCTAGTGTAGCAGCTGCTGTTCTTAAAGTAGGAAAGAACAGAACAATTAATGCAAGGCCAGTTTACTAAAGAAATGTTAAGGGGAAGGGAATGGACTGAAGTACAGGTAAAATTATGAGAAGAAAAATGTTAGATTGTCAACAGCAGTTGTATTGCTCCAGGTAACGCCATGCTCTGCTTGCTGCCATCTCTCTGCGCTGCTTAGTCTCGTGGGATAAGCTGAGTTCAGTGTAACTCGACAATCAGTCTTCAGCCAAGTCACTGCCTTTCCAAGCAGTTTTATTTTTCATATGTCTTAAGTAGATATATGTATAAGTAGATATGTGTCTTAAGAAGAATAGTTGTGTTGTTCCAGAAGCAGCATGGAACTGCTGAAGCCGTGTTTTCTATGGTTTTGTTACCCTTTCCCACGTGTGACTCCCAGTAGCTCCAGCTTACCCTCAGTCCCCTGGAGCACCCTCATCCGAGAGCCATCAGCACATGCTGGGGCTGCTGGAGCACTACATGTCCACACTGTCTGGCCAACCACTGCTGAGCAACATGTGCCATGGATGACAGGGTCTCCTTCCTCTCTCCATGCCTCTTCTTTTGCCTGAAGGTAAATTTATCACAGAACTTTCAGGAGTTTCCCAGCTCTCTCTCTGAAACTCCAGTCCTTCTTTAGTTATTTCAAAGTCTTGGTGGAAGGTGGAGGGCAACACTGCTCCAGTGGCTTATTTGCCTATGGAAAAAACAAAAAACTAAGCAACTCTGATTTTTTTATGTTATTTTTCAAATTTTCCATGTGGACAAATGACCAGATTATCATATTTAGTATGCTTGCCAACATATAGTACATAGGTTTGAATTTTGTAGGGTGAAAGTTGTCATACACTGATTCTTCTTTCTGGTAAATATTGTTAATTAAACTTCTTTTAACCGAACACATTTTAAAACTCTTGTGTGAAAACATAATACACTTACGAGAAGGTCTTTTTCTTAATTCTTTAGGTATCTTCAGAAACTGAAAACAGGAGGTTCCATCTGAACACCAGGAAATGCTTTTTCACTGTGAGGATTTCTGAGCGCTGGCATGGGTTACCCAGGGAGGTTGTGGAGTCTCCATCCTTGGAGATACTCAAAAGTCATCTGAACAAGGTTGTAGGCAACCTGCTCTAGGTGGCCCTGCTTGAGCAGGGGGGTTGCACCAGATGACTTCCAGAGGTCCCTTCCAACCCTTGACCATTTTGTGATTCTGTGAAATTTCATTTTTCTACAGAGGTGTTCATGTCATTGCAGGAATCCAAAGACATTTAGTTTATTCTCCTGCTGCACAAGTTAACTTCATATCAGAAGAGCCAAGGAGACCCATGAGGTTTTCTTTTCAGTCTTCATCCTCGCATTGCAGGAACTGTTAGGGAGCTTACTCTGTTTGCTTTTATTCTCCTTTTGCTATCCAAAAATGTAGCTAAAATCGAAGATACCTGTTGAAATTGATGTTTGCTTCCAAAATAACGCCTTGCCGAAGACCAAAGTAAGATTTGTTTGGAAAATGAACATCACAGTTTATTTCTGGACAACTGAAGTTTTGTTCACAGAATCACAGAATTGTTGGGGCTGGAAAAGACCTCTGAGATCATCAAGTCCAGCCTGTGACTCAACAGCATCACAACAGCCAGACCAGGGCACTAAGTGCCACATCCAGCCTCTCCTTAAACACCTCCAGGGACGGTGACTCCACCACTGCCCTGGGCAGTGCATCCCAGTGCCTGAGCAGCCTCTCCGTGAGGAAGTGCTGCCTGAGATCCAGCCTAAACCTCCCTGACACAGTTTCAGGCCGTGCCCTCTCGTCCTATCACTGGTTGCCCGGGAGAAGAGCCCGACCCCACCTGACTGCACCCTCCCTTCAGGTAGTAGAGAGTGATAAGGTCCCCCCTGAGTCTCCTCTTCTCCAGGCTAAACACCCCCAGCTCCCTCAGCCTCTCCTCACAGGACTAATGGACTCATAGGCTGGTGGGGCCAGCTGTTGGTCACACCATATTTCTACACTATTTTGTACCAGTGGAAGTATAAATTTACACTGCTATTGTTTAAATGCAGGAGGGGACAATGCATAATACTTGGTGTCAGCCTGCTTATTTGCAATGCCACAGCAGTGCTGTGCGGTCCACCCACTCGTTGAACTGCAAATATGCTGGTAACTCACCTCTGTGTGCTGTCATTTGAGCAAGCCACATCTAACTGGTGCAGCATAGTGCGAACACGGACCATTGACCTTTCCACGTGGGGCATGATTGGCCCCTCCTCAGCATCCATACAGTTAGGAAGTGTTTCAGTGGGCATAAGCTTCCACGTGGCAGCAATCTTTATCAAGAATAAGCTTTTTCTTTGTCACAGAACAGTAAGTGAGATGCTAATGGGGAAAAAAAAAAAAGACAAATGTATACAGGCCTTTAAGAGTCAGTCAGAACATTATAGATGTCTTGTACAATAAGTAAAAGTATAGTGTATATCATATTATATAAATCACAGAATCACAGAATGTTTGGGGTTGGAAGCGACCTCGAAAGATCATCTAGTCCAACTCCCCTGCCAGAGCAGGATCACCTAAATGTAATAAAAAGATACAAACCAGTTTGTGCTATACAATCTAAAGCCTTCCTGATTGTGTGAGGAACGTGACAAAGAGAGTAATTTCATTCATATCAGCAGGTAGACTAAGTAGTGAGAGAAAATAAAGTCGATTTCTCATCCTAAAACCTCCTTTAGAAGTAAGCAGAACACTTCTGTCTGTTTGACTTGGTGTCAGCTGGGATTTCCGACTGGGGCAGATGCTTGCGAACTGTCCTGTGCTGAACTCCCACTTCTGGGAAATAATGCTGTCAACTCACTTCCAAACATTTCGTTGCTGGAGTGATCCACGCAACAAAACTGGGACCCAATGTAACAGGTTTTATGTGTACTGCCTGAAGTACTCCAAGTGATGTAGATTTATTCGCTTAGTCAAGATTAATTTTTCTTTTTCTTTATTTTAGATACAGAGTGTGTTTTGGAGCCTCTGAGTCTGCCAGAAAATCCAGGTGGTGTTGCTGCTGTAGAAAGTTCTCCCTATGTGCCTTGTATTTTCTGCAAAGAATGCTATCTCTTAGCAGAACAAAACCATCTCCTGAAGCACATGATTATTGAACACAAGCTTGTCATAGCAGATGTGAAACTGGTTGCAGATTTTAGAAGGTAAGAGTTATGTTCTAGAAGATGAGTGTGCATGTGTGCAGATATTATACAAAGCTTCAGAAAACCAGAGATCATCTTTTTAAAATTTATTAAAAAGCAGTGGGGTGTTGTGGGAGGATTTTTGTTACTTTTTTCATAAGCTTTTTGTTGCTGGACTGTAAGGTTGCTTTCCCATTTCCCTCCTCCTCCCCAGCCACTAGATGTTGCTGGGACCAGGGGACTTGATATTCGTATACAAGGCAATTTCTCCATTAGACATTCTTTGACATATCCTAGGGACTTCTCAGGTCTTGTTACAAATGAACAAATTGCATACAAACTAGAAAGTGTTTATTTCATAAATCACATTCTCGGCAATCAGGTCTCCTAATCTGAGGTTTTATTCATGTAGGGCAAGACTATTTCTACTACTATACAATGTCCTAAAGCTGTGTATTGTACACAGGAGCTGCTCAGTACAGGATTTCTCACATTCTAGGATGAAATTCATGTACCCTATTTTAAGGATGCAAGTATTTCCCCATAGAAATCACATTTAATCCTTAACTATGTTTTACAGTAGTGTGATCTACATACAACTGTGACTCCTCTACAGCTGTGTCATTGATCATCTCGGCAGGGTCACATTTGGCTTTCTTTGTCTTAACTTCCTCCAGTAGCTGGCATGGCCCCAGCTGGCTCATAATTTCAAGAGACTGGGCACTTGCTTGGCATTTTGCTTTCACACACAGCAATGTATGGGCCAGGCAGTAGGCTAGATGGTGCCTGCCAGTTTGTGGATGGTTCTACTGCAGTATTTAAATCTTAGCTGGATAATTTCTCAACTAAAAGGAGTTTTGAGCTAGATGACGTGTGATTAGTTAGCCAAAGCAATAACTTGTATCTATGAAGACGCAAAAAAAATAAAAAGAAGTACTAGAATGAAATATAGACAGGCAATTGTAAGCCATATAAATCCTTATTCAGATGTATGTGTTTAACGTTGCTTAAAATTGAAAACTGTTACTTGTTTTTGTTTGGTTTCATGCTGAAAACAGGCAGCAATCTTTGGAGACATGCAGCATTCTTTGGAGATAATGCTAGTTTCTTCAGATAAATAAAGGGACTGGAGCTGCTCAGTCATGAACTGCCAGCTTAAGTGTGCTTGGAGGATTATTCTGCATTAATAGAAATGTATTTTAAAATCACCTTTCCAACAGAATGTCCCTTTAGATTCTTTTTGCTGCTAATGCAATTGGAAGGTAGCCAAATCTTACAGAAAACAGCCCCAGAATGTGAAATGATGGAGTTGTTACTCTGAAGTGTATCTGCTCTTATTTGCTGTACTGAGTATCGGTCTAATAATATGAACACAAAAGGGAAGTGTAATCTGAGGTGTTAAACTGAAGTGTGGAAAATACAGGGAAAACTATGAAAATAGAGTATTATTTTACACTTAGCAATGAGTTACAGTCAGTCTTAGGAATACCTTGTTTGACAGAACTACAAGTGGAGTAAATAAAAATAAATTGTTATTAAGGAAAGGGAAGAGATAAAGGGAATAAGCTTCCACTACATGATTGGACATAATCACTCGTGGACACTGATTACTCATTCTCTCACCCTGGAAGTGTGACAAGGCATTGGCTTTATTTGTTCTGTGATTATTTTGTTAAGTCTTATAATGTGAAATCCTTTAATAGTAAGCTTCATGGAGCAAATGGTTATAGTTTGTTTGAGTTTCTCTAAACAATGTTCATTTATTTCAGTGGAGGGAACAGACCTAATGACATCTTGAAATCATCCATTTACACATTTATGTCCTCAAAGCTCAAGGATGACTTGTTCTGGAAGACTTGGTGTTTTACGCAGCAGCAAGACTGTTTCATTGTGCATTATAAATAGTGGAGTAGGCAGGGAAAACAACAAACACCTCTCACTTACAGGCATCTAATGATGCCTCTGAATGAGCTTCCTCAATACATGCTGGCTTCGCTCTCTCCTGTACCAGAGGTTAATCCTCTCCTTGTCGGATTTAGCAGAAACAAGTATGTGCTGATTCCTTGACTGCTGCAGCTGAAGTCCTCATATATTAAGTCAGATAGTAAATAGAGGTAATAGTAGCCACCATGGGATGTGATTGTCGTGGCAAGTAAACGTTTAGATCGCACTGGTATTAAAAGCTACAACTATTTAGAAATGTCCTCATAATAATTATATCTGATTTTTAATGGTTTTCTTCCTAATCTGATGGCATGTCAATGGGAAGCTGTCATCGAATAATTAGCCTTTACATTATCGACTCTCCCATGGTTTGTATCGTGCACAAATCATAAGTATACGTATAAGCACAGACTTAAGCATTTTCAGCTTATTTTTTTATGTAAGAATCTGAATAATTAGTACAAGGATTGCTTGGTTCCCTTTATCATATAATTGAAGGTGAGGGTTTCTTCTTAGTTAAACAGTAGCTTCTAGTTCAGTGGAAACCTAACCTCAGTTGCAGTCTGTTGATGCTGCTGTAATACAAACAGTGATAGTACAAGAATGTTTTTAAACAGCCGTAGTTGATGGGTTAAACATTCAAGATGTGTTTAGGGCTTCCCTTATTCTGTCTGCCGTTCCACCCCCAGGTGTTTGGGGACTTCACTTTTCTGTCTTTGCAGTTGTCTTCCAAGCTACAGCTCTCACTGTAACTCCACAGGAGACCTGCCAAAACCTCACTTTTGACAAGTTGGTGTTTTTACCAAGTTTTGTATTCCTGCCTGCATCTTGCAGAACATAGAGCACAATATTTTGGGAATTGGAGCATACTCTCTAGCATATCTTTCAGTAAAGATTCATCTGAGTGGCACTTCTGTCTGAAGATGTGAATAGGTCACAGAGTTTATGTAAAGCTTAATGTAAATCTGTCTTATTAAAGTCTTCACTTTGACAGAATAGTTAAACCCAGTCTTAATGAAGCTGAATGAATTTAATTGATTTAAAAAATATAATAAAGGAAGGAAAAAAAAGAGACAGGAATTAAAAAAAGCATTAAACTCTTAAGAATTTAGAGGATAGAAAAACTGAGAGCCGATCAACTGTTAATTAAACTTTTTCTGATATTTCCTTTTTTACTAATCATCTCCTCCTTATTTTCAAAGATACATCTTATACTGGAAGAAAAGGTTTGCAGAACAACCCATCACAGACTTTTGTAGTGTGATAAAAACTAATTCAGAAGCTCCATTAGGTAAGTATGCTGCTTGCTTACTCTCTGTTGGCCACATCATCTGATAATTCCTGGCATATACTACTGCTTTGATCAGCCAAGTGTGAAGTGATCTGACACTAGGTCAGAAAACCAAAGGAGTGATATACAAATATCTGAGGGGTGAGTGTCAAGGGGAAGAAGACAATCTCTTCTCAGTGGTGCCCAGTAATAGAACAAGGAATAATGGGTTTAAGTTAGCACCTGGGAAGTTCCACCTCAACGTGAGAAGCTACAAGGATGATTAAGTGACTTGAACATCTTTCCTAGGAAGAGAGACTGAGAAAGCTGGGGCTGTTTAGTCTTGAAAAAGGAAGGCTGAGAGGGGATCTCATTAATGTATACAAATATCTGAGGAGTGGGTGTCAAGAAGAAGGGGCCAGTCTTTTCCATGGTGCCCAGTAACCGAACAAGAAATAATGGCTTTAAGTTAGAACATAGGAAGTTCCACCTCAACAGGAGGAGAAACTTCTTTACTGTGAAGGTGACAGAGCACTGGCACAGGCTGCCCAGAGAGGTTGTGGAGTCTCCTTCTCTGGAGACTTTCCAAACCTTCCTGGACGCGTTCCTGTGCGGCTGCCCTAGGGGATCCTGCTCTGGCAGGGGGTTGGACTGGATGATCTTTCGAGGTCCGTTCCAACCCCTGACATTCTATGATTTTGTGGTTCTATGATTTAACTCCTAACCACATATTTAAACTTACCTTTTTCAAGGATTGCAACACACACTTTAGGATTGTACTGAGTGAGGATGAGCTCAACATGTGCTTAAATGTGCTGTTGAATTGAGGCTGGTTGTAAATCGAGGCCTAGAAGCAGAGCTGCTTACATCATGACTGAGGAAGCTTTGGTACCCACTGCATCAATAGTTGGTGACAATCCTTCCAGAAATGTGGAGAAGCATTCTCAGTGAGCTGTCTTTTCTGACTTCACCCTCACCACCACCCTCACTGATGCTGCTAGGTCTTCCTGGACATCATGGTCACAACCGCCCTTCTTTTCCCCTGCCACGGTGCTTTACTGCCCCAAGAGTATTTGGAGAAAATATCTTCACAGTAGGGGTACCAAGATGGCCATTTTCTGGGCTCCAACACAAGGCCAGAGACCACACATCATGATTCTGCTGTGTTGGCACGGTGGGACGTTCCACCATAAGGACAGTCATGGCTATGTAAAGGAAATGTTTTTCTCAGAAGTAGCTCGTGCCTTTCATTGGCTTCCCCTTTTCTAAGAGAAAAAATAGCATTTACCCAGAAACAGATAAGAGAATGTTAGGGCTACCCTGCCTCTTTAGTTCTCCATGGAGAGCTTAAAACAGAAGAAGCAAAGCATGCAGCCACTGTCAGAGATGGGTGGAAGGTGAAAACTGAGTACAAAATGGATGAAAATAAATCAATTTAATTATTCAAACTAATTTTAAGACAAATAAAAGACATGAAAATTGCTCCAAAAACCATAATTGTGTTTTTTCTTACATATGTATGTGTTTGCTTCTCAAATTTTAGCACTTCCATTTGAAAATTGCAAATCGAGCAGAGGACAGTGAAAATACTTTGTTATTTGTTTCTAAACAAATTTGTTAATTTTAATGATTAACTCCTTCAAAGCTGATAGTTCAGAAAACAGGGAGTTTCTCTTCGCACAGGCTTCTGTGTGGAAGGGAAAGGCTGAAATTGAGCAAGTTTAAAATTGTAAAAAGACAATGATGGTCGCATTATTTCACCAACCACATAACCCTTTGATTAATAAATTAGTAACTTTCAAGTGCAAAATACTTTTGTCAGTGTTTTTATAGCATCTTACATGCTGAGTAATTTTAAGGTAATGCATTTGAATGAGATTTGTTTTATTTTTAAATTGGATATGAACGGAGGTGAGAGGTAAAAGTCGCTGAACAGAATTGGTTCTGTTTAGCTCAAACCAAGAGAGAACATAAATAGTAAAAAGGTTAGTAAACATAAAATGTGGGGAAAACCTCTTAGTAGAAAATAAGACAAGTTTCAATGTATGTAACTAAACAGTTGTGGTACAGACAGCACAAGAACTGATGGTAAAAGTTTACGTGGTCGGTCAGGATAAGGGGACGATATACCAAATGGTAATAACTACCAAAAAATGACAATTATTTAGGGACATAACTGAAAATCTCACATGCAAGAGAAAATTAAAGATGATTTCATGTTTCTCATGTGCTGACTTTATACTGTAACCAATATAAATGATTAAAATTGCTTTATATCTCCAGAACCATCATTAAAAGAATGAAGGTGGTAGTAGGGAAAATCTCTGCAAGACTTTTTGTACTACAGTGTAAATGATGTAAAGATCTTATAAATATGTACATACCAATATTTAAGGACATTTCATTAAATTATGAAATTAAAATAACTTACTTGTATAGATTGAAAAACACATTCTTATGTTCTTAACACATTCCAAAGGTTTAGCGAATTATGTACCAGGAGTATTCAAAGCAGCTTCCTATGTCTTACTCATACTTCCTAATCTCTTAACAGAAGAACAGGACAATTATTTTCTTCTGTGTGATGTTTTACCAGAAGACAGATTACTTAGAGAACAGCTTCAGCAGAAGAGACTGGTAAGAAATTACTGTTTTTTCATTTTTTTTGAGGTAAACAGTTCCATAGTGTAATATATGGTAACTCAGTGGGCATTTTAGAGTGAAGTAATTTTTGGCTGGACCACAGAAATCTGATTTTTTTCATATTTTTTAAGCTCATCTCCCTAGCTCCTGCACAAACATACAGAAACTCTTTGTTTATAGGTTTTTCCTTGGAATAAATTTACAGGTTGTATGTCAGTGTTCACAGAAGTGGAAAATATGCCCAGAGCACTGAAAAAGGCTGAGTGTGCTGAATATTTTTCTTGCAAGAATCTGCAATGTATTGAAACACTGTCTTTGGTGTAACAATATACGTGTAGTGAAATTAGTAAAAAAACCTCAGTGTGTGATACTGTGAGAAGGGAAGGTGATATTTACAAAATTTTTTTTGTGCATTCACACTCTTGCTCAGATTTCATTAATTTGCACTCGCGTGCTCACAAGCACCACAGTGTGTGACTGGAGGAAGTATTGTTTCTGCGAGATGGAAGGGACAAGAAATGCCAGCTGCTGAGTCCTCATGAGCCACGCTGGTTCTTCTCGGTGATGGCAAGATCATGTTTTGGACAGAGCTCTCATGTCTTTTAGGAGTTACCCATTCTGAATGGGTGATCCTTCACATTAAACTTTCGCCAACTTCAGAATCATAGAATGTCAGGGGCTGAAAGGGACCTGTAGAGATCACCTAGTCCAACCCCCCTGCCAGAGCAGGATCCTCTAGGGCAGCCGCACAGAATCGCCTCCAGGCAGGTTTGGAAAGTCTCCAGAGAAGGAGACTCCACAACCTCTCTGGGCAGCCTGTGCCAGTGCTCTGTCACCCTCACAGTAAAGAAGTTTCTCCTCCTGTTGAGGTGGAACTTCCTATGTTCTAACTTAAACCCATTATTCCTTGTTCTGTTACTGGACACCATGGAAAAGACTGGCCCCTTCGTCTTGACACCCACTCCTCAGATATTTGTATACATTAATGAGATCCCCTCTCAGCCTTCTTTTTTCAAGACTAAACAGCCCCAGTTTTCTCAGTCTCTCTTCCTAGGAGAGATGTTCAAGTCCCTTAATCATCCTCGTAGCTCTCTGCTGGAGTCTCTCCAGTAGGTCCCTATCTCTCTTGAACTGGGGAGCCCAAAACTGGACACAGTATTCCAAGTGCGATCTCGCCAGGGCAGAACAGAAGGAGAGGAGAACCTCCCTAGGCATGCAGACTCACTTTTCGTAATGCACCCCAGGATACCATTGGCCCTCTTGGCCACGAGGGCACATTGCTGTCCCATGGACAGCTGTCCACTCGGACTAGCTGTCCACTCATTGCTGTCCACTAGGACATCAAGGACTTGGACTATTAAGCCTGGAAGGCAAGGCTCAGGAGGGAGCTTACCAAAGTGTATAAATACTTGATGAGAATGAAGCAGAGAGAGTCACATTCGTCTCAGTAGCATCCATCAACAGGACAGGAGGCAACAGCCATAAAATAAAATTCTCTCTGAAAACAAGAAAACACTTTTTTTGCTGCGAGGGTGGTCAAACATTAGAAGGAGTTGCCCTGAGAGGTTGTAGAGTCTTCATCGGTGGAGGTACTGAAAACACAACTCTAAACCAGTTCTACGTGACCCTGCTTGGGTGTGGGAGTTGAACTAGTTGCTCTCAAGAGGTCCTTGGCAACCTCAAGTGATTTGAGGTTGAGGATGCTGTCTGCATGGTGGTTCTTCACTGTGCATCATTCTTGTGCTTCTCTATACCTTTCCCAGTTTCCTATAATCCCTTTGAGGCTGTGAAAGACATCTTGAATATTGCATGTGGGCATGCATTGACATAACGTTGTTTGTTTCCCAAACATACACCATGTTTTGTGTGCCTTTGAGGAAGGAAAGAGGATCATGACTGAGCACGCAAGTAATGTTTTCATAGGACTGTGTACTGCATCTCCTGGCTGCTACACATTGGACTGTACTTTTTCTTTTTTCAAAAGGCATTTGTTTCTAGTTTGTGGTGTTTTGTGCTATGCAATCCTATTCCAGCTAGACCTTCTCTCCACTGCCAGTGTCAAGGGAGTGCAGAGTCTGTTGGCAGGTGAGCCATCTCATCTCTTCTGCAAGATCTCTTCCTCAAATTCAGAAGAGAGTATAGGATTTGTCGAGAGCAAGTGCTGGTTTTGTTTACAGAGTAATTAAGTCAGGACGGAAAAACATATGCATTCTTATTACAGTGTGAAATAGTCTTTGATATTAGCACTGTTTTAAATATCAGAATTGTATCTTCAGTTTTTACAGAGGGATTTTGTGAAATCAAGCTGCAGCTGTAGTTGGTTTAATGGAGTCACTGCTTTAGTTACAGCAATAAAGTCTGTTTATTTTTTCATTTCCTTTTGCTGCAATCTGAGTGTTGACTTGCAAGTTAAATAGTTATTTCACTTTGCAAAGTCTTTTACCTCCAGACAAGTCCAGCAATTAAGAGTGAGCTGGCAAATGGGCTCATGGGAGTTTCGCAGAATGAAGACCAGAACTATAAAACTTTCAGTGATTTTTCTGCAGCCTTTGAATCCTAACTGCTGTCTCCAACAGCAAGCCCAAACAAGGACAAATGTTGTCTTTAAAATGTGCTAGCTGAAGCATTTCATTTTGCAGTTTTGAAACTCCAGTTTAGGAGTATTTCAGGCTGTATTGCAGCAGGGGAGCTCGCCAAGGTGGATGTCGTGCAGAGACATTATGGTGACTGTGATGTATTGAGAGAGGCCAAGGAATGAGCCTGAAGTAGGTTAGAGAGCCCAGCTTGCTGAAATAGCTGACAGGGCTATGTAATACAAAGCAGATACAGTCTTTTGGAAAAACAGTCTTGACAAAAGAATTCATGATTGTGAAGGAGTACCAGGCAAGGAAGTCCCATCGGCAAAACTCGAGATACAAGGAGGGGCAGTGTCAGTATAAGCCACTTGGGCTTATCTTTAAGATTTTTCTAAAAAGAGTAAAAACCCCAAACCTATTTTTTTTTTTGAAAATACACACTTCCTAGCAGAGCATTGACCTTATCTTGCTGTTATGTTTACAGCTATTCTTCTGTCATGTGACTGGTAGTTTTAGGTGTAGAGGCTACTCTTCCTCCTGGTAAACAGACACTGAAGAAGAGTCTTCACCAAAACTAGAAGAGGGACTCAGCTATACCGGCTTCCCAGGATGAGCTGTTTGTATGAGCCCCAGTTTTGTCACAAGCTTAAGCTGAGACAAGGTTCAAGAAGTTGAAGCTGTGCCCTAGAAGGGATCGAGATGCTGGCCTGATGTAGCACAATGCAACATCAGAAGTGCTCACTGTTTCTCGTGTTTTAAATGCATTTCATTAACATCTGTGACATAATTAACCTTTCCTGCAAAGACTGAAGCCCCAAACATTGCAGACATTCCTATTTTTTCTGTGTTTGGTCTCTTCCTACGTTAATGAATCTTTGCTTTTCTTTGTTGTTAATTTCTAATGTATTTGCAGGCCAAGAGAGGTTGTTTTTTGCTCTTGTTTCACTGTGCTAGCCTGTCTCCATCTTCTTTTAGTTGTCTTAGTTCAGACAAATGTCACCTATCTCGTCCTTCAGCTTGGCAGCTGGTGGTACATCTGCTATAATTTCAACCCTCTTTTTTTTTTCATACATATTTGCATGGTTAATTAGTTTTCATCATATCATGTAGCTCCTCCTCCCTTTTTTAACTGACTTTACTTGAATTGAGGCGCTACCACCATTGCTAATGGACTCGGCCTTGACTAGCAGTGAGTCTATCTTGGAGCCGGCTGGCATTGGCTCTGTTGTACACAGGGGAAGCTTCTAGCAGCTTCTCATACAAGCCACCCCTACAGCCCTCTTGCCACTACCAAAACCTGGCCACACAAACCCAATACAGGTGATAAGCCTGTACCACCTCATTTAGAGTACTCTCAGTTCATCTCCAGGTAGGCAGCATCTCCTGAAAGATAGTGGGTCACTGCACCATTGCTTTCCTCTCTTCTCTGTCCCAAAGGTGGGTCTTAGATGCCATTATCCTTCATTCCTTGGAGACCAGTCTTTAACATGCCAGTCTACCTGTCTAGCCAGTGGGGCTCTGTTTGTGACACTGGATGAGAGGGAAAAGTGCACAGAGTAAGCAGCAAACACACATATGTTGGATGGTGTGACAGCTGTCTTCAAAAGTGTTGAGTGTTCTCCAGTCTGGATGACCTGTCCTCACAGTTTTGTTGTATTCACTTGCACATTACAGCTAAACTGTTTCCTGAAGGGCTTCTCCAGCAGACATCTCTGATAATATTAAAGAAAAGGCACTCTTCTTGAAATAGCATTGGATAGAACATGATAATGATTGTAGATTTGGAAGACTGTACTCGAGAGGCAAGAGAGTACCGTTTGAAGTGGGAGATCTGAATACAGTGATCAGTAATGAGAGAAGCTGAATACAGAAGTTAGGAGATAAGCTATTGATATACAGCTAAGATTGCAGGTCTCTAGAGACATGGAGTTTCTGATACCATGATTCTTTGTGTTTTTCCTGTTTAGCAGCTGCAAGCATGATATAATGATTCTTTGAGGAAACTGTAGACGCAAACCAAATGTACAACAATGTAGACAGAAACCAAATTCTCTTAATCCAAGAGTAGTTTATCCTAATGGTTTGTATAATTGTCAAATACTGTACTTGGCAAGTTTTTAGAGACTGTAGTGCATCTCAGATGTCACTAGTCCTGGTCTTTCTCTTGCTGTACTGTGCTGGTTTGTTTTATTGCCACTATACTGTATCAGCAGCTTCTTGTTGTGATCTGTCAGCATGATTTTGTTTTGTTTTTAAACCAGGATCTGTTTCACTTGCTGTCTTTGCCTACAGCAAAGACTAGTTTCTGTAAGCACTCAGCAGGGAAATGTAGCTCTTATTTAAAATGGAAGAAACAACTAAAGATACACACTGTGTGTTTGAGATATCACTTAGGAGAGCTTGATAAAATATGTATTC